ACAACGGAACGGTCTAACCATAGAGGACAACCAAGATATGGATTGCAGAGCACCTTCAGAGGAGTGGGCACAACGTAGAATCAGAGAATCATAGAATCCCTACAGTGTAGAAGCAGACCATTTGGCCCATCGAGTTTACACTGACCTTCCGAAGAGCATCCCACCCAGACCCAGCCTCCTAGCCTTTTCCTGTAACCCTGCATTTCCCATAGCCAATCCACCTAACCTGCGCATCTCTGGAAAAAGCCAGGGCACCCAGAGGAAACCCACGCAGACACGGGGAGAACGTGCAAACTCCACACAGACAGTCACCCAAGGGTGGAATCAAACCCGGGTCCCTGGCGCTGTGAGGTGGTAATGCTAACCACTGAGCCACCAAGCCGTGACGTCAATTGGCCAATGCATCAACAGCATGGCACGTTGCTCCTGAGATGCTATTGTGATGGTGCAGGTTCTATCCCTTGACTTACCCGATAGCCAGAAACCACATAGCACAATCAGAGCAGCCACTACAGCTGACTTTCACAGCCCTGCCACAGCTCAGTATTAAACCTTGCCTTACCATTCATCATGAGTGATGTGGGGCTGCATCCAGAGATGGCTAAGTAGGTGGTGATTTGGCTCAAAAATAAAACAGTGACTGATCAATCTGACATCATTGCTATCACTTCTTACATGCTGTAATCCTTATGGCCTCAGAAAAGCTAGTTGTTCAGATTCCTGCTGTAATTGCCGAGATGCTCCAGGCTGATAGGGCCCTGGTTAAAGTGGATCAGAACTCCTGAAAAGGCTAGAATACAGTGAACTAGGTTACCTTAGAGTAAAGAGGTAGCATTAGTCCTGGACCAAAAGTGTTGGGTAAAACTCTGAAGAGATTACTGAAAGCTCAATACTTTGAAGGTGTATAACAGCTCAGGAAGGAGCTATCTGCAGTTCTAGTCAAAAAAAATTGTAGTCGCTTGAGCACCTTGGATGTTAGAATTCTTTGAGTAAGTAACAAGCAAGTTAGTCAAAGGAGAGCAGTCGATGTGATGTATGAGGATTCTGAAAAGGCCTTTGACAAAGTGACACACAGTACGCTGCTAAATAAGGTAAGAGCCCATGATGTTAAGGGCAATGTACTGGCAGGGATAGAAGATTGGCAGACTGGCAGAAAGCAGAGAGGGATGTACTGCTGAGGCTGTATAACACTCTAGTCAGAATATATTTAGAATATTGTGAGCAGTTTTGGGCCCCATGTCTATGGAAAGATGTGCTGGCGTTGAAGGGAGTCCAGAGGAAGTTTACAAGAATGATCCCGAGGATGAAAGGCTTGTCGTATGAGGAGTATCTGAGGACTCTGGGTCTGTACTCGATGGAGGTTAGAAGGATGAGGGGGAATCTGATTGAAACTGACAAAATACTGAGGGGCCTGGATGGAGCGGATGTGGAGAAGATGTTTCTAATAATAGGAGAGACTAGGACCTGAGAAAAGGGATGACCCTTTAGAACTGAGATGAGGAGGAATTTCTTCAGTCAGAGGGTGGTGAATCTATGGAACTCATTGCTGCAGAGGGCTGTGGAGGCCAAGTCATTGAGTGTATATAAGGCAGAGATAGATAGGTTCTGGATTAGTAAGAGGATCAAGGGTTACAGGTAGAAGGCAGGAGAATGGGGTTGAGAAACATATCAGCGATTATCGAATAGTGGAACAGACTCAATGTGCTAAATGGCCTAATTCTGTTCCTATATCTGATGGTTTTATCACTACAAGTGACTTAAACCTATCAAAGCATTAGACGCTGGGTCTCTTGTGTGAGTATTGTATGAGTGGTGTTTTGGGTATGTACCATGGGTGTGTATGGGGTACTACAAAAAAAGCTTTATTTTTCTTTACAGTTTATGAAGGATTAATGGGATTATACTTTTACTGTATGTTTAAAAATTTTTGTGTCATAAGTAGGAGGCTTGGTCTATTCTATCTTTTTTTTCTTTCCTTAATTATTTATTATACTGTTAAAGCAAAATGTGCAGCATTGTGTGTTTATGTTCCAGCAACAGAACAAACCAAAACAAATCAAACTGTGATCTTTCAAGCCAAGCTTCTGAATGGGATCTGTATGGGATTGTAACACAAGCCACTGGCTGAGGGCTGTATTTCCTGTGGCTACTGAGCTCCCCAAGTCTCAGCATGGTGTCACTCAATAACACACAGTCCTCACAACTGATAGCTCTACAGTGTTACTCTGTCTGCTTAAATAACAAGGGCGCATTGCTGTTGTACAAACATTTGGAAAGTTATGTTGATTACATTGGCAGTGATGTCACCTGTTTGTTTAATATCCCCCTCGTAATCACTGGGGCATTCTTAATTTGCTTAAACTCAGATGTTCTGCTCCAGTTAACTTTCGAATGAGAAAGATTGGCCCCAAGTTACTGAGAGACTCCAAACCTTTATCCTGTCACAAAGTTAGGACAGCCACTTCTGTTGAATTGCAGTTATGTCCCTCCCTGTCTACATTCCTACGTGGAGGAGAGGCTGATGTGAGGCTGATGAAATAGCCCTGATGTGAGTCAGAACAAAGCTTGATGCTGTTCCACTCTGTTCTACAGGCAGCCTTGCCAATCCTCTCCATTTATACAAGGCAGAGGGAAAACAGCTTTCAGAAACGTTGAGAATTCAGCCTCTCAAAACTGCTTTGTGCAGAGAGAGAAAATAGAGAATAAATGAGTGGATTGAGTCTGTTCACATAATGATCCCATTCTCCTGCAGCGTCTGTTGCACATGTTTTGGACTAATCAGGATGTTAGCACATTGCTTTCTGTTTTTTGATTGTAGTGAATGAAACAGCACTTTTGATTATTTAATTGAAGCCTGAGTCCTCAGGGCTTCATGTCCCACAGGACTTGGTGTGTGTGAGTGACAGAAAGCCTGGCCTCTGCTTATTGACTACTGAGTCATACTGCTTGCTGACAGAGGGAAGTCGAACAGATGCACTCGCTGGCACAGCAGGAGCACTAAGCTGGGACAATCAAGAGTATGTTGCCTTCTGCTGGCAAGTGAAACAAGAGAAGAGAGCTGGCTGGAACAAAAAAAGCCCAAAACACACCAGAGCTTAGTAAATCAAAATAAACAGTCAGCCACACTATCATACACACTCAAAAAACCAATGACCTGTCAAAACCAGGTAAATACTAATTGCATCTTGCAAATACACATGCCGGAAACACTGGTGGTCTCTCTCTCACTCACACACACACACACACACACACACACACACACACACACACAC